TGTGTGTAGATATGACGTACTAGTTACTAAATCAGTATTTACTGTCAATGGTCTCATAGTGTTAACAGCAGGAATAAAATCTATAATAGATTTAAAAAAACAAAAACTAATTAATATGAAATATAAAGAGAAAATGAACCTGGTCGAATAAGACCAACAAGTTGTTCGACAATACGACGAATGACATTATCAAGTGCAAATAAAACATGTGGAGGTTGAAAATTTCTTGATGAAAGAACATTATTTGCCTAAAAGAAATTTAATTTAGATATGTTTTTGTTTTTCAATCAAATAATCAATCATACAGCTTTTACAAAAAGATAAAATGAACGTTCAAGATCGATACGTAAATCACTATCCATTGTTGTTCTATTACAAATTTGATCTAAATAATTTATTTGAATAAAATAAATATTAAAAGAAATTTTTTTTTTCTTTTACCTAATGCATGTTCTAATGAATTTGCATTTGCTTGATCCAAATAATCACAAATACCAGCCAATAAAATTAAAAGTTTTTCCTAAATAAATAGAAAATTTTAAAAAAATCCATCAAATATTAAATATAATTACAATATTTAATAATTCAGTTTCATTTTTTTCTTCTATTAAAAACATCCATTGACCGATAAGCTAATAAATAAAAGATTTTAAATTCTAGTCAAATATTTATATTAGTCTTACAGCTTCTCGACTTTCTTTGTCACGTAAAATATTAGCTAATTCCAATCGACGACAATCATCAATCGATACTTGAGGTGCTAGATTACGAGCTGGTCTACAAAAGAATAAAATCAATTATTTTCTAAAAATAGATTTATTAATTCATACTCAAAAACCATGCCGTCGTCGTCGTCGTTTGTACTTTGTTGTAAAGATGATGAAGAATCTGAGACACGTATTGCACTATTGAATTAAATCCAATCATTTAAATGATTCAAAATCATCGAAAATTCTTACCACTTAATTCTATCACCAATATGATCTTGATAAAAGTATCAAATAGTTACTTCATTTATAGAAAATCTACAGAAAATAGAAAATACTTACTACTGTTTGTTTCTTTTGTTAATCCAATTTCCCTTCTAAATAAAAAAAATCATGTAGAATTATAAAATAAAACATGTTTGAATCGTTTTTATTATACATAAAAACGGTTTAGCATAGCTATGTGACAGTTCCATATTCACTAACTGAATTGATATTGATCGTTCATCTATTTTATGTGAGCGAGAACTGGTTACCCACTCTTTTCATATGAGTTGGGATTTCTGAAAACCTGGTTTTATCCTTTTGACTCTATTTATGACAGCCCTATTTCAGCTCACGTATGCACCTCAGGTTACACGGCATAAGATGGACAGTCTAACTGGATATGCTTGCCTTATCCTACGAACTTTTTTTATCTCGCCTTTCCTTAATATTACCCTAATTGGAAGACTCTAAAAGTGATCAATGGCACAAATAGTATCACAGTAGAGATATATAGGGTGAGCTCTTTGTACGCTGACTGAGAAAAATCTTCTTACCCTATCCTACCCTGCCACATGCTTACCCTTAACCTACTCTACCCTACCTTGCATAAGGATTATGCAGACAATATCTTTATCATTATCAATTGACTGCAATCTATCTATTTAATAAATGAATGAAGCAACGATTGTCCGTTCCATTAATAATGGTTACGAGACAAAGAAACAAAGAACGGTGTAGACAATGATTGTTGATGACTAATAGGAACACAAATGATTAACTGATATCTACTGGCGCTATTGAATAAAGATATATTTTGTTAAAAATCGTGAAATAAAATATTGCAATATCTACAATTTCTATAATCGCTGTAAATTGAAACACCTTGAAATAAGAATGAATTATTTCCATTACTCTGTTATATCGGAATTGGGTGTGGGTGTGGGTGTGAGTGTAGTTGTGGGTGTGAATAGAGGTAAGACACTCATCAACACCCACACCCTGCAAAACACAGTTAACGTGCACATAATTCTACTATACAAGACTCCTCAACTTCGCAAAAAAAACGATATCCTACGATGCCCAACATCGATCTATCAGCAGAGCTTTATCCCAGCTAATAACATACAGGCAAGCACCATTTACATTATCACTATAGCATACTTTCTGAACGAGCGCCATAAATCATCATGACTTAATGTACTATATCACTTCTTGAACTTTTTGGCCAATAAAATTTTGAGAAAAAACCATACTATCGGGAAGCCTGTCAAAAACTGCATCTGACCCTGAGTACGAAAGTCCATTGTAAAGACATTTCTTAAGCACTTTGCAGTCCAAAAAGAACGATCCACTGGAAAAAATCACTGTTTTGGGCACTATTGCCCCTGTGAAATTTTTTGGCCAATGAAATTTTGGGACAAAAACCATACTATCGTGAAGCCCGTCAAAAACTGCATCTGAACCTGAACATGAAAGTTCATCGTAGGACCAATTCCTAAGGGATTGATGTGCGTGAAAGTCTGCGACGTCTGTAAAAAGTGGGTGAAATATAGTATTTACTTAGAAATTTTTGCTGAGGGTAATTATTTATATTTGGTTCATATATGATTTTGTGCAGAATTTGATGCTCTTTCAGATGAGCTTATTTGAAGCTATATCAGATTATGTTGTGGTAAAGATAACCTCTCTGGACTGATAAAAAGTAGGGTATAATTGGCATGGGTAGGAAGGCATGAAAGGGTTTCGAAAATATATTGAATTTGACATCAAAAGATTCAGTGTAAAATTCTGCATCAGAAAATAAACTTCTTTTGTGAATCCGTTCGTGGGCCGATTCCTGTTCTTATGCGCCCCGTCCTTAATTATGATGAAATATAACAGAATCCATAGCACCAAACAACAAAAGGAAAACAATATTTTAGTTAGATTGATAACCAATTTTCTATCATCAATTTGTAGTGTCCTTTTGTTCATGTCAAATTTTAAGAGGACTAAAAACATAAACAGAAAAACAAATTACGGCCACAGTAGCAAACGCTTAGCATGACACACAATATCTACAACAAAAGGCTTGAAATTTCATGTTTTTTACATAATGCTAGTACTTTTTGAAATCTATTGCCACACTAAAAGTAGGCACTCTCACTCGCCGCGGTTCGCTTACCCAACAGAATACGGTCATAACTCAACTCATCATTGGAAAGAAGATAAAAATTTTATTTATACTATATAAAATATGATGGTGAAAAAAATCTATAATGGAAACCAGAAGGTTGTATTGGCCAAGAGAATAAAACCACATGACAGATCCCATGTCACGCGAACCGATCGAAAACCGTCGGTTAATTTCGGTTATTTTTGAAACCGACGGTTAACCGCGGTTATTTCCTTTGTTCTCATAACTTTCCAACGTAAAAACCGACGGTTGACCGGAGTTAACCGGGCAAAAGTCCGGTTGAACTGCTACACTTTCCCATTAACCTGGAGGTTAATTGGGGTCAACCGTCGGTTTTTACGCTGGAAAGTTATGAGAACAAAGGAAATAACCGCGGTTAAGCGTCGGTTTAAAAAAAGCCGAAATTAACCGGCGGTTTCGATCGGTTCGCACGACATGGAATCGATTAAAATCCATGAGGAGAATTGAATATTAGAATTAGTATATGATCATTATGAGAGCAACTACAAATGTATTTTTAAAATAATGAAAGCATTAGTGATTGGCAATGAAAATAAATTAGAAGAAAAAATAAATCAAAGAGACTATTTATTCAATTATAAACCAATCATATACAAGAAGAGACGATATCTGTGATATATGTAAAACCTTTTTATTATCTCTACATACAAAGACATCATCAATAGAGAATACAATAGAAATGAAAGAAGCAAAGAATGAAAAATACCAATGGAAGACAAGATGGTGATGGCGCAAGGAACGAAGGAAAAAACTCCAAGACTAAAACTCCGTCCAGTATTACCTTGTTGCTGCTTGCACTATCAATAAGTAGTAAAATAAAAAAGCGACAGACAAAATAGAAAACAACGTTGTATGCCTAAATTTTATATGAATATGTCATAAATTTTGAAAATAAGTAAAAATACAATAGAAACTGAAAACAAACTATTTCAAAAACAAGTCTCTATGACCTTCCATAATGCTCGTCAGCTCCTGATAGGAAATCTTTTAGTAGTGGGTCTTCAAACACGGGGTCTCTCAGTAGTGGGTCTTCAAATATGGAGTATGAGTGTGGGTGCGCCTCTCTATTTCGACAACACCCACACCCACAACCACATCCTCAAGTAATGAAACTCAGAGCAATGCACATTTTATTTGTTCATTAATATAGTAAGAGAACATTCAGCAATTATAAAAATAACTTTTCAAAGATGTTGATCTTTGTTTGGTTAGGGTTATTTTTGAGGAATCAGTTGAAACTTATGACGATGTATCTTTTATTATCAAAGAAATATCCTCAGAGGACTGTTGAAAAAAAATAATAACATTGTCTTGATTCTTTTCACATATATTTCAATGAAATTTGATTTTATTATTAATATAAAGTAGGACTATCTATCATACAGTAAAACTAGAAAAATGTAAGATCTTGAATGATGTAAAGGATTTCTAAATGTGAAAGCAATAATACTACAATCAGACAACGTATTAGATTTTTTTATGTTAGAAAAAAGTTTCATAAGTCACTCAATATACACTAAGATTGTCGGAGGGAAAATTATCATGTTTATTGCACTGTCTAGTCGTTTAGAAGCTACAATATAATTCAAGAATAAGACGATTAAAAAAGTGATGACGGTTTTTCTTATTGCTACAGCATGGTTATCTTCTATAGCCATGAACATAAATTTTTTTATCATTTTCGTTTGGTTGACTTATAAAGAGAATCCATGCGTACATTCTTGTTCATTTTGTTTTATATGACAACTCTACGTAAGGAAAGTTGCAAATAAGAAAGTTATTCATAGTAATACTTTGGTGAGAGACGTTTTCTAACGTAAATATATACAATTCATAGATCAGCTAGTGTATATACAATGATCTTAGTTTCTATTATGAATAAAGTTAAAGATTAAAAATAACACGAAAATGTGAAATTTACTATAAGACGACTCATATAATATTTCCTATCAAGTCTAGTACATACTATCAATACCCAAGCAAAATACATACACAAATTTTATTAATGCTTTCCGATATCTTGTTTATTCTTTTTAATTTTGATGAATTTTAATATCACTAATACAACAATCAATACAAGCAACAAAAAACTATTTTTAAATAAGATGCCGAATATTTTAAAGTTTTCAATCGTGAAGAATTCGTGTTGGAATGATGCAATATCGATTGTCCCAGAAAACTAGGTCTCCTTATAGAAGTTCGTCTTTTTAGAAAATTTATCTATTCTTATATAGAGAATCGAAGTATCATAATAACAATAGATTTCATCAGATTCTATCTGGTACAAATGTTTGTATAAATAGTACAACTCCTGGAACAAACATTTGCCACAAATGCTTCGTTGTTCACCAGAACAGGGATTTAAAAGCTACCTTTCTCAAATTTTCAGTTTTTGGAGAAAAATTTTTCATGCGTGTGTATGACACAATAAATGGTGAGCATACTATTTCGAAAAGCCAACATCATTTTTAACACGATTCATTAGAGCATAATGTTGTGCTCAATAGCCCAAATTTCTCATTAGATTGATTCACCTTAATAATCATGGCAAAACAGTAGACACTGACAGCATCGACGTGCGTTCATAATTCTGTGTTTTAGCACAAACTTCTAGTTTTTCAGGACTGCTTCTATAAAAAAAAACATGATCGCTCCATAGTAATTCGAGTTTTTCAGCCATCACAAGCAATGAGGGAGACATCACAAGTTCACGAGCGAATACTAGCAAGAAAAATCCAAATCCACTGATAACTTTCTTTACGTTTCCCAAAGTCCGATCAAGTATGCAGTTTAAAATCAAATAGCTTGTGACTTACATCATCGAATAGTATATGTCTAGAAATTTTACCAGAGTAGTGTGCATGATATTACTATTTTAAGAAACTTAATACTGTTAGAACATCCGCAAGAAGAC